CTTTACAAAATCCAACCGACGCCTTATCTAGCGCCAATGGTTCGATGTCCTTTTGAAAAGCCCTATCGAAAAGGCTTTTTTCCTCCCTATATGAAGGAGTTGCACAATGCCCCTTCTACATGGGACTACAGAGGTTGTGGGGCTGTCAGATTGTCCGGGAGAGAGAGTGCCTCTTTCCATTCGAGCTTGGGAAATGAGGTAAATGCTCCCAAATCCGCCTCAGCAGGTTCTCCCTACATAAACAAGAGTGGCATCGTGGCTTCGGATCTTAGTAACGCTGTCAAAGAACAAACAATTGCAAAGGTCAGACCCCCGAAGAAGCCCATTTGGCCGATTAATAAAGATAGGGCACGCCCCCCAAGAGGGAGCCCCCCTTGTTTCAAAAAGTGGAAAAAAAAGTCACGAAAGCCTATCTCCCGACAAAGAATAAAAATAACTAAAAGTATAATGGCTAGGAATAGGAAAGGAATGGACTATTTCTGAGCTAATATACGCGAATAGAAATAGAAATTCCGGAGAATGTGGCATTGTTTTTTTGTAAGTTCTCTATTCTGAACATTTCCTAAAAGTAGACGACAAGTTTTCAATTTTAATGTAGGCATGTTGAATTAAGCATCATCAATTTGAACTTTTTAAAAATAAATCGCCCTGATCCCTGGTGCTACTGATACCCGATCCGATTTTTAAAAAATCAGAGTCCATTTTTAGGAAAATAGAGAACCAACAAAAGTTTTGATTTCACTAGAAATTAAAGAGAGGGAAAATTCATCAAAAATCAGAGTCCATTTTTAGGAAAATAGAGAACAAACAAAAATTTTGATTTCACTAGAAATTAAGAGAGAGAAAATTCTATATATATCTATTATTTTTAGCTTTATTACAAAAATACCACAAATTTTTTGCTGTTATATCTAGGGAAAGCTTTCTATGTTCCCTCTACAACATAGAAGTTCTATCCTCCTCCTTATCCAATGGTCCATTTTTTAATGGAGGGCTAAGATTGCCCCAATCACAATTCATTTCTCTACACTATTTTTTTTTTTAATGTTTTTTTTATAAATTATTTTGACACCAAATTTTGAAAGTTCACTCCTCTTTTAAACTCGCACTAATGAAAAATATTAAAAAAATATTTTCAATAAAATGAAATGGCCAAAATACCCCTGAAAGTTTCAAGGGTATTTTGGTCATTATTTTTTATCGAAAAATTATTGTTAATATTTTTTATAGGTGTGCCCCAATGAAAGTATGGCACGTACGAAATTTCATATTAAAAAAAAAATTATTAAAAAAACTAAAAATAAAATACTTTGAGACGTCGGATCTAAGATCAAACGATGAGTGGTTCTCTTGATAAAAAATGGACGGCTGGTTGGTAGGGGAAAGATAGAACTTTATGTTATAGGGAGAATATAGAAAGCTTTCCCTTTTATTTATGGATGAGAGATGATTGTTGCGTGCCACGAAGACTTGGGATAATATACAATTTCCTTTTTTTCAAACCATTCCACTATTTTTATTTTATGCTTTTGGTGGTTCCTGGTAATGGTTGAATCATCTTTCTTAAGTTTCTTGTTGTATGTTTTGCTTTATCGAGAAATCCTTATATGCATCTTTTAAAAAGAAATTCTATTTTTTGTTTTTATACATATTTATTTAAATTTACAATTTAAATAAACTATGGAACATGGCAAATATTTATACTTGATAACTGTTCTTTTTGCTTGTTTCTAGTATTTGTTTTTTTTGAAAAGCACACCATAATAATGTGAAATAAAAGTACATATATATCTGGTTAATATGGAAGGTGTATATTGTAATAAGTGATTATGGGAAGGGCATATATAATATCTTGTATTTTAGGGTAAGTCTGGGTTATAGTATGGAAATATGTGATTTATTTATATATTGTCTGATATGTAATTTGTCTATATTCATACGATCAAATGAAAAACCTGAGAGTCTTCACAAATACAAAGAGGTCACAATCACTATTGATCATTAGATGTGAAATCAGATTGTAGGCGGTGTGTGATTGATTTTGGTAAAAAACTCAAAATAAAATCTCACACCATGTGACACATCAAAACTGTCAGATTTCACATCCAATGGCTAAAGATGATTGGGATCTCCTTGTATTAAATATGAATGGTCTTATAGTATACAATCTTTTTTTTTCTTAAATATTTTATGAGTTTCCTACATTATTTTTTATTTTTCGTGTTATATTTTCTGGTTTTCATAAGGTTGCAACTTTAAACAATCCAATTAAGACGCACTTCAAATTTGATCATAACATATAATTTTGATGTAAAATATTCCTAGAATTATCTCAACATCTATTTTCTTATCTAATTATAAAATTTTAAAATTCAAAAATGGTTAAAATCAAGTAGATCTATAAATATACGAAAACTTTGAAAATGGACGATCCAGATAATGTGTTGTAAGCTGCACCAATTTTGGGACTCAAAATCCTTTTTTCTTTCATAATCATACATCTCTATGTTGAGATGCTCAATTAGAGGGTTTTTCAACATTAAAACAACTTTTTCTATAGATTTTTTAGGTGCATCAATAGTTCTACAATTTAAGGTTGCAACCTTATGTAAACTTTTCTTTTTTAAAATTTTTTTTTTAAATCATGCGACTGGTTTCACGATACCGGTGCCCTCATAAGTTTGGTCACCGATCCGGTCACATCGACTTTTAAACACTTACTTTCTAATACATATAGAAACCATTTCATAATCACAATTCTAACTATTTTCAAAACATAGGGAGATGCATCTCCACAAGAGACCCATCTTCATTTGCTTTTGCGATTCAAACAGTAGAGACCTCTGCAAGAGAGACATCGCTGGGTATCCAAACGGGTTAGGTAATTTTACATTGGATTCAAAATTCAAACCACGGGTACAGCTCTCGCATCCCCATCTACCAGCCAAGATGCTCAATCCTGCATTACCATTTTTCTTCTTCTATAAATATAATATTTTTTTCGCTCAGTAACTGATAAGAGAGAGAGTTCTCAACTAAGGCAGATTTAATTTCTTTTAGGAAACTGTTCTGATTGGGCTGCGGCCCTATCAAAATAAGTAAAGCGTCACTTCCAAACTCACCCCATATTCTAATTTTGGCGTCGTAGCACCGTGAAATCGATCATCTCTGCCTTGACTATCATGTTTGTGAAAAACAAGATTTCAATACTAAAAATAATATAATTGTAACAAATTATCTCGATTGTGCTTTTTACTTTAAAAATAGGGAAAGCTTTCTATGTCCCCCTACGGCATAGAAGTTCTATCCTCCCCTTATCCAACCGTTTATTTTTTAATGGAGGGTTAAGATTGCCTCAATCACAATGTCACGTCTCTACACTGTTTTATTTTTATTTTTTTTTTCTATATATTGTTTTGACACCAAATTTTGGATGTCCATTCTTCTATTAAACTCGCACTAACGAAAAATATATAAAAAATATATTTTCAATAAAATAAAATAATCAAAATACCCCTAAAAGTTTTAAGAAGTATTTTGGTCATTATTTTTTTATCGAAAACTTATTGTTAGTATTTTTATAGGTGCGCCCCAATGAGAAGATGGCACGTTCCAATTTCATATTCAGAAAATTTGTATTAAAAAAACTAAAAATAAAATACTTTGAGACATCGGATCTAAGATCAAACGGTGAGTTGCTCTCTTGATAAAAAAAGGACGGCTGGATGGTAAAGGGAGGATAGAACTTCTATGTTGTAAGGAGAACATAGAAAGCTTTCCCTTAAAAATAAGTGTGGACAGATCCGTAAGATTTGTACCATTTTTTTAGCTTCAATTTTTATAGTCCATGTTGAAAATTAAATTTAGAGCCATCATGGAGATTTCTTACGCCTAAAGTGTTTTTAGTTGAGGTGAAGCTTTACTTTGTTTTCGTAAAGCCTAGGTCTTATAGAAAATGCATCCTTTTTCTTAGTAATTACCAGCAAATATTTGATCCACAAAATTAAGGGAAATTAGCTGTACGTAAGCATAGAGCACAAATATATTGCGTAGAGT